GAATGACTTAGTGACACTGTGTGTGACTTACACTTACACGGAATGACTTAGTGACACTGTGTGTGACTTACACTTACAGGGAATGACTTACTGACACTGTGTGTGACTTACAGGGAATGACTTCCTGACACTGTGTGTGACTTACACTTACAGGGAATGACTTACTGACACTGTGTGTGACTTACACTAACATGGAATGACTTCCTGACACTGTGTACACCACATTCTTTACATTCCTTCACCTGTTGACATATCTAGGCTGAGACTGCCACTCTGCTTTTGTGAATTGTGTAGTAATAAACATGGCCAGGCAGTCTTTTTTACAAGCTTTTGTTGTGCAAACCTTGTTCCTTGATTTAAAACTCTTGGTTAAAAAAAATTGATGACAGCCAGTTACTGGAGAGATTAGAAGCAGGTGGGTTTGAAGTGACCTGGTTGAAGGAGAGACAAGAGGGAAGAGAGTAGGAACAAGAGAGGAGAAGGAGGCCACCGCCATGACAGGAGAGGAGCCATGAACACATGGCCAGGAAAAACAGCAAATATTTGGGGTACACTGCTGGGGAGGTAGCCAGGCCTACAGCTAGAAGGGTAGATTAGGGTGACCCCCAGTCAAAGCTGAGTAAATAACCATAGTCTGAGTCTCATTTATTTCTCAGGTAGTCAAGGATTGGTCTGAATTGGTTGTACTACACCCACAGAGTCTTTCTTACTGTGTAGCTCTGGCTGTCCTCAAACTCTAGCTGTGCCTGCCTCTGCCTCCTGGCCGCTGGGATTGAGGGTGTGCACCAGCCTGCAGCATCCTTATAACTTGAGTTTTTACTTTGGGAACTAAAACTCTTGGCTTTTAAATCTTCCGCTCCCCTCTCCCCTTTCCGAAGAGACTGCTAGAAAATAGCTCTTCCATTTGAAGTCTATTTTAATTCAGACCCATCACCCCATTAAATATTATCAGAATTTTCATTGCTGGGGATTTCTAGAAACTTAACAGAAGACTGGGCTTGGGCTCGCTCAGGCTTTAGGGTGTCTCTGAGACAGTGAGGCGAAGGGCTGGAGAGAGCTCAGCGGTTAAGGGAAGGTGCGCTTGCTTGCTCCTTGAGCTCAGCTGTGTTTGGAGCCGGATTGCGGCTGCTGTGCTCGCTCACTGTACTTCACCTTCTGTGGCCAGGCTTTTTGTCTTCACCTCTCTTCTTCCTGAGCCAACTCCGGCCATGCTGAGTCGCACAGGAGTACTGCCTCTGGCCCCTGCACTGCAGTGTGCACTCAGGCTGCACTGTCTTCACCAGCTGGGAATGTGGTAACACTTACCTCGAGCAGTTGAATTCTCAGAGGAGTTTTATTTTTCTAAATGAATATTGGTCTAATCCAGGTTTTTTAAGCAGCAACAATGCCTTAGCATTAAGCAGTTTTGAGAAAAGGGCGCCTTAAAGCCTCCGTGGGTGGCGGGGATTGTTTTGTTTTTCTGTTTCCTTCTGATTTGGAACTTAGTAAAATAGTGGGACATTAAGATTCCTTGAAGATAAATCCTTGAGGCTGAGCACAGCGACTTAAATATGCATAATCTGAGCTGTTGCGAGGCAAGTGGGTTGGTGCAGAGATAACCCACGCTTTTATAGCAAGACCATGTCTCAAGAAACAGGGAAAGACCGGAAGAGCCCGTTTATATTTACTGAGAGTCTACAGTCTTAGCAGACTCTGCCTGTTTAATAAAGTGAGATAGCTTTGAAAGTTAGCGTTTCAGTTAACTCTCATGAGTTTAGTATGTTTTACAATGTCTTTTTGTTTTGTTTTGTTTTGTTTTTTGTTTTTGTTTTGTTTTTGTTTTTTTTTTTTTTCGAGACAGGGTTTCTCTGTGTAGCCCTGGCTGTCCTGGAACTCTGTAGACCAGGCTGGCCTCGAACTCAGAAATCCACCTGCCTCTGCCTCCCAAGTGCTGGGATTAAAGGCATGCGCCACCACCGCCCGGCTACAATGTCTTATAACTTGAAAATGTGGAGCAGTCTTGAGAATTCCTTATAGGCCTCTGTGTTGTGTGTCCTGTGCGATGACAGTTTTAACGCCTTTGAGAACACCAACAAACACAGATTCAGCACACGCCTTTAGTCCTGGCACTGAGGAAGAAGTGGGCCAATTGCATTGAGGCCAGCTTGATCAAGTTCCAGGCCAGCCATGGCTGCATAGTGAGACACTGCATAAAAGAAAGAAAGAAAGAAAGAGAGAGAGAGAAAGAGGAAAGAAAGGCGGGAGGGAGGAAGGAAGGAAGGAAGGAAGAAAGAAAGGAGGGAGGAAGGAAGAAAGGAAGGAAAGAAAGAAAGAAAGAAAGGAAGGAAGGAAGGAAGAAAGAAAGGAAGGAGGGAGGGAGGGAGGAAAGAAGGAAGGAAGGAAGGAAGGAAGGAAGAAAGAAAGAAAGAAAGAAAGAATAAAGAAAAAGACAAAAAAAAAGGCGGGAGGGAGAAAGGAAGGAAGGAAGGAAGGAAGGAAAGAAGGAAAGAAGGAAAGAAGGAAAGAAGGAAAGGTAGGTAGGCAGGTTCTTAAGGCTTACCACAGATCCACTGCTTGGGTTAGTTATCAAGCATAACAATAATAAGACACCTAAAAACTCAGTGGCTTCAAACTATTGCCTAGAGCTCCTGATCTTTTGGGTCAAGGACTCAAAGGAAAGCCCTTCTGATGCCTGGTGTTCTCTAAGGGCATTTCAGCCAATGGCCGGACTGGGTAGAATTTACTTTCGTCCTGTATCCCACATCTGAGCTTTTTTAAACAGCAGGTAGCTACTCATATATAATCATGACCATTCAGTGTGTTCATATACCATATGAATTTTAGCTCCCTAGTATTTTCAAAGATGTTATAAATTAGACTCTAAAATCGTTGCCCACTTTAAATTTATAGAGTTAAGACAAGGATTGCAATTCGCTTGTATTGCGCTTGCCTAGCATGTGTAAAACCATAGGTTTGATTATGAGCATCGAAAAAAAAAAGAAAGAAAGAAAGAGGAAAATATGATGGAATATATTTTGTATGTGTGAGTATTTCAGAGAAGTTCACTATAAGGGTAAGAAGCCTTCTTTAAGAAACGGGCCTGATCCAGTTAGTTTTCATTTCATAAATCTCCATAGCCTCAGACAGTAGAATTGGCCAGTAAAAGCTACAACAATTTGATGATTCCTTTACTGAGAGCAAAGGGCAGTCTGACTTATCTCTGAGAACACTATTGTCTATTGGAATCGTTCACCAGAAAGCTAAAAGTTACTGAGTTTGTTTCTCTTATCCAAGAAAAGTTTTTGAGGATCTCTTCAAAAGAAAATCGAGTCGCTTTATGACTGCAAATTAAATTAAAAGCAGAACTGCCAGTTTAGTCTTTGCAGAGCACACTTGTGTGGTTTATTTGGTAAGGAACTGGCACAAGCAGAGACAGGCAGGCATGGCTCTGCACTTCCTAGAAAAGACGCCTCTTGCTGTGGAGAGTGACGTCAGAGCCTTCTTCCCTTCTTCCCTTGTGTTTTATGTCTGTGCATGTCAGGATCCTGTGGTGTGCAGTATTGATGGCTTTGAGACAGGGTTCTTAAGTTACCCACACTGGCTGAAAAGCCCTGCTCTCACTCCCACTGACCCAACTGCAGTGCTTTTGTGTGGTAACATTCTTTATTCTGTGCCCAGCAGACAGGTCACCTAAGCAAGGGGGCAATTAAACTTTTCTTGACATGAATGTGGATGTGCACACACACATGGACAAGCACACATGTGCCTGCTCCTGGGATTGTCCTCAGAGCCTCACAAATGCTAGGGTGAGGATTCAGCTGCTTAACTGCGAGTCGGCTGCCTTTGAGCCTCTCAGTTCCTTCGAGGAAATGAAGGTTTATACTTCATTAATCTTTTTCTTTTTGAACTGAGGATGCCCCTTGTCTTGTAGAGCACCACACGTGTGCATTCTAACCAGCCTTACCTTCTAGCGTTGTCTTTTTTTTTTCTAGCATTGTCTTAATGGACTTTTAAAAGAGATTCTTAAAAAGAAACTGATGCTAAAACATTCTCAAAGTAACTGTGGCCCTGACTTCGGTCCCAAGTCCTAATGTTTGGGGATTTTGTAGTCATTCTTTTCCAAATGGCTGAGCTCACTTGGATAGTGTGACACCATTACAGGAATAGTAAGTGCTGGAGCTTTTACCTTCAGTCACATAACTCTTGCATATTCAGCTAAGGTACTTTATACAAAGGGTTTTAGGACTGAACTAACCCAGACGCAAGTAGATTATGAAGTACTCCGTAAGACTGTATTCTTCTTTCCTCCTCCATTTCCCGCTGTGAGCACTTTACACCATTAGGATGAGTTGACTATAGAGCTCCCTTAATGTCCTTCCCAAGGGAGAAGGACATAGACTTAGAAGCAGGACAAGACTAATCACCTTAGCCGTACACTGCGGGTCCCACAGGTAAGGCCAGGCAAGTCCTTCACGTGCCATTGCTAGGACCTCTCTGATTCTGTCCTTTCTGAGTGAGACTCCAGCGTGCTTAGGTCGGCTCAGGCCTGCAGCATGCCCTGTAAGCCCCTAGAGAGAGTCCTGTCCAGTGTTGGTTGCTACCCATGTATCTGTAGTTCATCTGTATTGGTGATGATCAGCCTGGACGTCTCAACTAGAACGCTGACATTAATATCTGTGCAAGTGGGGATCCAACCAGATTTAGAAGAAAGTCTGAAAGAGTGCTTCATTGTGCATTTTCTATTTGAATTAATCTGTTCCCTTAATACAGTTGTCAGTCTGCTTTTCACGTGGCTTTAATCTGACAGACATGCATAAATATGATTAGGAGATTATTTCAACATAACTGTCTTTTTATCGCCTATGATGAGTAGTATTCAGCATGATTCAAAGTAGTCAGGCTTAGAGACAGGCTCACTATGTCTTCATATACTATACCTTGGCATATAAAGAGAAGTACTTAAAAACTGTGCAGTGAGCAGAGAGTTCACTGCTGTTCCAGAAAGGTCTGCCTGGACATCCTGTCCCATCACCTCCTGAAACCCAGAGTACACTTCCATTAACACACACCATTGAAACAAACCTTACAGCATAGATTGGTTTAAAAATGAAGACATGGCTGCTTTCTAGTAGAGGGGGAGGATATTGGCTCTGATTGAGAAACAACCTACACGTGTTGAATATCTGTGTGGTAGTGAAGATGGTTTTCTCTGTGTAGAAATTTGTCTTCACTGTGCAGTGAGAAATTCAGAGTCCTCAGACCGTCCAGTTTGCTTGTGATCAGATGGTTCTAAGACAGCCAGCCCTAGCTGGATCAGACATATAGTCTGACAAATGTGGAATGCAAGGCTCCAGGACTGGTTGGCTGGGGACAACTATTTGCATGTCCAAGTCATACAGAAGTGCTCCCTAAGAGATTTCTTCAGATTGGTAAAGTTGGGTTCCATGCCGTTTCCAGAACCCCGTGTGTAGAGCCCGGCTCCCGTGACTGCTGGGGAGGACCACTGCGTAATTATTTCTATCCCAAAGAAAGAAAGACTGGGATTTATTAATCACCCTCCCTTTTTCTCTCTCTACCCTCCCCCTCCCCCTTCCCCCTTCTCCCCTCACCTCCCATTTTTCTCTGCCAGATTTAGAAATGGCTGTTGCATATTGGAAGTTAGTATTGTCTGGAAGGTTTAAATTTTTAGATCTTTGGAACACATTTCTGCTGGTAAGTGACTGTTTCTTACCTTTTGTGCCCAACCAAGAGGAAGCTTTTCCTACTGAAAATGCTAAAATTTAGGCTCTGTGTGGGGATACACACATTTAATCCCTGCACTCAAGAGGGCAAGGCAGGCAAATCTCTGTGAGTTCAAGGCTAGCCAGGGTGACATAGTGTGACTGTGTCTCAAAAACCAAAATAAAACACCAAGTAAGTAAATAAATAGCTTAGACTGAAGACAGCCGTTGGGCTCAAGTGTGAGCACAGAGGCATTAGCATCAGTCAGGGCCTGCACAGGTTAGCCGCTTACAGAGAGCCGCGGCAAGCACAGCGGCACAGGTAGGAGCTGTTCCAAAGCTGTAAATCTCAGCAGCTCCTATGCTGCCGTCTCCTCTGGGGACTTCAACTCAGTCATCCTTCATTTCTACCGAGGAACTTCAAATCCGTAAAGCACCAGAACCACACTTGTAGCACGCTGCTCCGGACTCTGGAGTGGACTGGATCTTGTCCAGAGGTACCTGCCACCTTGTGTCTGTACTCCGACACTATTTTAAAATGCATTCTGCCACATACAGAAGGCAGGAGGCTTTTGCGTGGTGCCTTGAGGCAGGAGCCATGGCTGTGCTAAACCCTGTGTTGTAAGGACAGCCAGTTTAGCTGTGAGCTCTGTGAGATGAGCAGAGTGTGCAAGAACATGTATTGGATCCACGAACAACAGTCCTGGTGACAGCAGGGATACTCAGACCCTCACACTGTCTCGACAGTGAGAGAAGCCGAGATTCCCACAGCACATCCTATGGCCTGGCTGGGTTCACCCATTGCATCTCCATCTGTGTCCCCAGCCAGCATGCACTCTGCCCTGCCATGGGCAAGATTGGTGGCTTTGGGTGTTTTATTCCCCTCGCTGTTTTTCTAGTGATAACATTCACAGAGCATGGTCTGCGGAGGGTAAGCACATCTTAGTGGCCTAGGGAGGGCTTCGTGCCCAGGGGCTCATCCCACCATGTGCCGTGTCACTTCTAGGGTGTTCAGTGGCTGATAACCCAGTACCCAGTTCCTCTTCTACTCATTCTGTGACCAGGAATGGAACCTGTGGTGTCATACATGCTAGACAAGTGCTCTACAACCGAACTACATCCCAGCTCACTTTTGTTTGACTTGCTGAGTTTAGGCAGGTCTTGAACTTGAGATCTTCCTGCCTAGCCTAGTAAGTAGCCAGGATCACTGGCCTATTTCACCAGGTTCTCATTTTGGGTAACACCAAACTAGAGACGTCCTCCAGAGAGCTCTACGGCCAAGTGTCTAGAAATCAGAAGGTGCCACCCACCCGTCACATCATGGAGACAGCGGAATGCTAGAGCTGACCCAGCCTCTGCTGATGGGAGGACTGACAGCAGTGAGACTGTTTACCCCAGAGGACAGAGTGGGCAGTCAGATCGCCATCAGCTGTGCGCTTCTCAGACCAAATGTTAGCAGGGGAGGACAGACCCTAGAGACAACTGACAACCCTGCGGGTGATGTTTTACTATGCTATATGAAGTTCTCCAAGAATAAATAAGTAGGCTTCCCAAAAAGAAAGAAAGAAATATTTAAGACAAGGGCTGCCAAGATGGCTCAGCAGATAAGGGCATCTGCCACCAAGTCTGATGACCACAGTTTGATCTCCAGGCCCCACACAGTGGAAGGAGAGACCTGACCCCCACAACAGGTCGTCCCTGACCTATACACATGCACAGAAAAGGAGAACTGTGGAAAGAATGTTGAGATAGCATGCACACATGTAGCAGGCTTAGCAGCTATTCATGTTACATGTGTGTATTGGCATGTAAAGGCTGGCGTGACGGTGCTAAGTTTGAGTTGATGAGTACTCTGCAGGCAATAAGGGGAGAGCCAGCTGAGAGGGAGCCCTGGAGGCCCAGCTTCGCCTCAGAACTCGCCTCTCTGTGGTACGTGCTGTGTTAGTCTCCACGGTTTTGATACAACTAGAATATTAAGTAACAAAGATTATTTTTAGACAATTATCCCACTCAAGAAGCACTTGACATATGGAAGTATAACTGAGGAATAAGACAAGGAGAAATAGGACTCCATGTTGTCCAGAGACATTTCCAAACAGCTTTGTGTCCAGGACGTGGGGAGATGAAGACATTTAGAGTCTGGCCTTCTGTGTGACCAAAACAGGAATGGGCAATTGTCAATTTAAAATGTTTTAAAATACTTGAGTATTCTCATTTGGACATACGGCACGTAGCACATACAGTTGATGAACGGACTGTTACCTTTACTTGTGATGGTTTTGCATTTGTGTTCCTCATCCCGTTCAGGAGAACCACTTACTAACACAGTGCGCCCCAACTACTATAATATCTGAGAGTTAAGATCTGAACCTTAACCTGGTGGCTGTTTTTCTCTTATGTATTAGGAGCATCACAAAAGATCAATTCCAAGGGATACTTGGAACCTTCTCCTAGATTTTGGAAACATGATTGCAGATGATTTGTCTAACTACGATGAAGAAGGTACTAGAAGTTGTAGGAGTTCACAGGGTTACCAGAGATGCTCACACGCCCCATGGATGCTACCTGACTAGCCTCAGAGTGTGGGGCAGACACTGACCCAGAGGGGCCACCCACCCACAGGAGTAAGAGCAGTGTACTGGCTTCCTGCCTTGTCAGCCCCTATAGCCACATAAAACCAGGGTAGCATGGCTTGCACATGCTATCCTAAGTTTGGACATATTTCCCCTAATGCCAGAGAACCTCACATCAGAGACATTAAGATCCTCCTGTGCAGTAGCACTGCTCCCCAAGAGAGGGGCCTGCTCCAGGCGGCTGGCTGCTCTTCCTCTAGATGTACCTGCCTAGACTTTGTCTAGGACGTCCTCACCCCTCATGTCTGTGGGCAGTACCTGTCACTGACAGCATCTGCTCACCTCCTGTCCCTCATCTCCATGACCTTTCCCGCTCCACAGTGTTCAGCTCATAACAAATGCTTAATGAAAGCTTGTGGGAACGAGGAGACAGTTGAATATAGACAGCTTGCTTTTCAGGAGCCATAGCTGTCCTTGGTAAAACTAACTTGTCTGCCAGAAGACAACTATCGTGAGAGGCAGTACATGCCGGTGCAGTGGAGGAACCTGGAGCTGCAGGGCTCTGCACTGGATAGATTTGGGAATCTCTGGTAAGGACTCAGAGAAAGAATGCCCATGACTAGGAGTTAATGCTCCTTGGCATGGTTTCCCTTCTCAATCCACAGAGTCTAACTAACTGCCTAGAAATTGGCTGAGGCCTGAGGAGCCACCATGTAGGTTTGGTCAGTGAGTGTGGCCTCAAGGACGTTAAGCCCACCACTCACTCAACCCACTTCCTGGAGCAGAAGTGACTTCAGCGAGTCATATGATCAGACGCAAGTTGCATATGCTTGAGATTCCTTTGTTTCTTTAGATGTTAGAACTGGGGAAAGAATATTTTTAATATAAGAACATTGGCATAAGACTTATTAGAAAAATCTGTTTGTTTTCCTTTAGGAGCGTGGCCTGTCCTTATAGATGACTTTGTAGAATATGCACGGCCAGTGGTCACAGGTGGGAGACGTGGCCCTTTCTAGACGGAAAAGCCAGATGGAGGGTAGGATGGGCGTGTCCTGGAGGAGCCAGCTGCGTGGGCTGCTGTGTGCATTTGTCGCTGACCTCAGAGTCTTCCCCGTCCATGCATGAAGCAAATCCTTACTCTGCTTAAAGGCTGACGTGCAGACACAAAGAAGCTCCTCAGGATGTCAGGGACAGCGACAGAGCTATGGCTTTAGGAGACGCCTGCATGACTTGTCTTTTCAGAGAGCAGCGTAGATAGACCCTGTGCGCAGGCTGACAGCATGCTGTTCCAGTTCATGACGTTAAGGTGAGCACCAGCCATCTCCAAACTGGAATCATGTTCTAATTACGCTTCAGGGTAGCATCCGTGTCCTCAGAATGATGTAACTGTCACACAAGTCCGAGCTGTTCAACACACGCCTCATGAAGACGGCCTTGTCAGAGAGCCCACTGCTTTGAATCTTGGTATTCAAGATGGATAGTTCTGAATTATCCAATGTCTAGGTCTACTAGATGTTGTGCTTTGGTTTCTCTAGAAGCTGCTGTTGCAGTTTGCACAGGGTGGCACAGGTGCATCCAGCAGCTCACTCTATCAAACTGTTTACAAGCTGGGGGACCTGTTTCACTACTAGGAGGTTACTATTAGGCCTGGATGCTGCCTCCTGAGAAGTTTCTTATTTTTTTAATATATTTTATATTTAAAAGGACGTTTTCCATGAGAAACACTTCTCTTTGAGTGATGAGTTAGATTTACAAATCATATGCACCAGTTCCCACACCTGTCTATAATGTCTCCAGTGCCCGGTGTCCAGCCCTTCGAAAGCCATATGCATTTGGAAGCAAACATACGTCATCCGGAAAGAATCCACACCCAAAGCACTGTCTCACTCGTCTGCACCTGAGACTGTGCCGTGTCACCATGCCGTGTCACCATCTGCTTTTCTGGTGTTTATCTGGTCAACATGCACACAGGCGTGGAAGGCCTGGATACTACCTGCTCATCTGGTGTCAAGCTTCGAACATCACTGTGCTGACCCTACCTCACACTTGCCAAGACTTGGTGCCACAGCGTGCCTTGCTGCCCAGCCTACAACATGGCCATGGAGCAGATCTGCCGGGCCCACTTCAGGACAGGGGACCGGTCGATGCCTGTACACAGAAAGCATGTCCCAAATGTGCTGTTGCGCAGCTTCTGGTACTAGGGCATGCTCCTGGTGTAGGACACAGCTCTGAGACTTGCATGCCCTATGAGACGGACTGTTGCTAGTGAGTAGGAATCTCATGGAGGAGGTGGAAGATTGGAACTGGAAGCCAGTCTCCACAAAGCCAACCCCTCAGTGTGTGAGATGACATCACTAGCGGCCTGTCAACACAGCTCGGTAAAGGGAAGCCGGGACGTCTTTGAGAGCATACATAACCAAACTGACTTAGTGAAAACCTAGAAAACAGCCTCCTTCCAGGCTTTGTGGGTTCCTGACTTGTACGTAACTTCTGTCCAGAGACATTTTATAGATACAAATAACTAAATCTTGACGGTCTGCAATACGTTCTTATTTTTAAGATTTACCACTCTTCAGGGAAAGGACCAGTGATACGATTCAGCAGGTTAAGGCACAAGCTGCCCAGCCTGAGTTCAGTCCCTGGGGACCACATGGTGGAGGGGAGAAGTGACTTCCCCTGGTTGTCCTCTGACCTCCACACATGTGCTGTGAAATGCATGTACCCCCCCCACATACTCACACAATAAAACAAACAAACATAATAATAAATAAATAACTTCAAAAATGTTGAATTCTATGGGATTGTCAATAGGCTGTGACATACTAGTAATTGATAAAGGCTTTTCAAAGAATTGTGCTTTCTGTTCTCTTATTTACACTTGAATTGTGCATGTTACAGAAATGCTGAAAACTTCAGAAATAGTAAATAAAATATTTTCCCTGGTGTTGTGGTGTCTTTTATTCTTTCTTGGTTGCACAAATACCGACTTGTGCACATCAAGGCCCTGGTCTTTGTCTTGGAGCAGCAGAAGGACCGGTTGTAGCAACAGCAAGCAAGCCCTTGCCACGTTGCATCCCTGCCGGGTAAGTAGAGTGGAGACAGACAGACAGCTCCATTCCCCCAGGTCCCTTTCTCAGCACAGTATGCTGGAATGTGGAGGCCAAATATCAGAATATACCAAAACAGCTGCGGTTATGTCTAGAACATGTTTACCAGACACAACAGGTTTAAGAAATGCATGCTATCTGTTCCACTTCCAGTGGAGACAGCACCGTCCTTGTCTTAAGTGGCATAGGTACCGAGTTATGGTGTTTAAGTGTTCAGTCCATTTCAAACGATGCTCTGTGGGCGCAGAAGTAAACTTTGCAGCTTCTCTTGCTGTGCCTAGCATCCTGTAACAGAAGGGGCTCTGTGAGTGTCAGGCAGACAGACTAGTGAGGTGGCCTTATCTTGTGTGTAATTTTGGCCAAATAGTGTGGAAGTGGTTTCCAAATGTCCTCAACAAACCCTCTCCCAAGAGTCCTCAACCCTCACTCCTTCGTCCGGGACACACTTCTGTCCATATGCTGGTCCACCTTAAGTGGGGGCTGGCTCCTGCTGTTTGTCTATCTGGATGGGAACTGTGTACCTTCTGGGTTTGCAGGACTGCTCCAGAGTGAGAATTGTGCCAGCAGGAAGGGCATCTTGATAAACACTAGAGTTCTCTCCAGGGCTGGAGAGATGGCTCAGTGGTTAAGAGCACTGCCAGCTCTTCCAGAGGTCCTGAGTTCAATTCCCAGCACCCCATGGTGGCTCATCATCTAAAATGGGGTCTGATGCCCTCTTCTGGCCTGTGGGTGTATGTGTAGATAGATCACTCATATACATAAAATAAAATCCTTTTTAAACATAAAGTTCTCTCCAATTGTATTTTAAGTCCAAGTGATCCCCTGCCAATTCCAGATGTGACAGACTTAAGTCACAGGAGGGCCAGCACTGTCTGAGCCTGCAGGGTTTGTGCTTGAGACAGGGAATAAGGAGGTGGTCATCTTCCTAGTTCATTTCAAACCTTTACAATAGTGTGCCCATCCAGCCTCGTTATTTAATAATTCCATGAGCAGGCAGTGCTTAACCATATTTGACAGTGTCTGCATAGACACACACAACTCTAAAGTTTAGCATTGGAGCCCCTCATGGGACACTAAGTTGTGAAACAATAACCTTTTCACGGGAGCTAGGATGTGCTACATCTTGTAAAGTTTTCTCTCGTGACATGTTTTCAATGGAGCTGAAAGTCAGACCAAGGGCCTCGTAAACATGAGGTAACTTAGTACTCTGTTGGAGTGACTCCTGCAGCCCTCAGCCCTCAAGTTTATAATAAGGAAAGGGGTTTTCGTTTGTTTTTTGCTTTTTATTGTTTTGGGGTTTTTTGGTTTTGTTTTGGGGGGCGATTTGGTGGGGTTTTTTTTGGTTTCTTTGTTTGTTTGTTTGTTTGTTTTTGAGGCAGTATTTCTCTATGTAGCTATAGCGATCCTGAACTCACTCTGTAGACCAGGTTGGTCTCAAACTCAGGAATCCACCTGCCCCTGCCCCTGCCCCTCCCCCTGCCCCTGCCCCTGCCCCGCCCCTGCCCCGCCCCTGCCCCTGCCCCGCCCCTGCCCCTGCCCCTCCCCTTGCCTCCTGAGTGCTGAAATTAGAGGCGTATACCACCACCACCCAGCCAGAAAAGTTTTCTAAAAGCATAAAACTACAATGGATGGCTCTCAGCATTGAGCTGAGTGAAGGAAGGCAGATAAGAAGGGGCAAGAGGACAGTGTTTATTTGAAGCTGGGGCAGAGCTGATGGCAAAGAACGGATGGAGCGGTATGCTCACACTGTGGCGTGCATTGCTCTGCCTGCAGGGGGCACAATCCACCAAGGCACTGACACAGTAGCACAGCTCAAGGGCTCTGAGCTGGCTGAGTGTCCCCTGGCGCCAGCAGGCTCCTTTGCTGGAGAGCCAGTGCTGTCCGGATAGCTCCCACGTGGTGATCTCTGAGCCTTTATCTCATTGGTGGCACCTGCCAAGGCAGGAAAGGAACGCCTGACCATTTGGAGAGTGCTGGATGGTGATACAATGACCAGTATAAGTGTCAGCCGGACTGGCTAAGGGTAGCCAGGAGGGGACAAAGGCAACCGCAGGGTAAGAGGGGTCACCTTCCAAGATGGAGAAGTTCAAGGCTGCGATGCTGTTGGGGAGTGTCGGAGATGCCCTCGGCTATGGAAATGTCTGCAGGGAGAACAGTGTTCTAGGCTCAATCCAGGAGGAGCTGCAAAAGACCGGGGGACTGGACAGCCTGGTGCTCTCACCTGGGAGGTGGCCAGTGAGTGACAATACCATCATGCACATCGCAACTGCAGAGGCCCTCACCACAGGTAGGACTGGCTGGCATATGCTCCGAGTGTGTTGCGGCACAAAGATCGGCCGCCTGTGTTGATAGCAAACCAGTACCAAGAACCCTGAAGGTATTGCCTTAGTGCCCTGTGTTACCTGACACTGTTGCTGAAGGTGGTGATTTAATACTCACCCAAGACCTGGAGCCTGAGAGGCAGCAGGTCATGTTTCTCCTGAGTGTCTTTGGGGGACAGCAGCGCTTGGCAGATAATTCATCTCCAGATTCTAAACAGCTTCGCTTGTTTCTGCGTTATGTGAGCAAGCCACTGGGAGCTGCCCTGGGTGTGTGTGTGGGGGGGAGAGAAAGCACAGACATGGGTTCTCATTGCAGAAGGTGAGCATCTTGTTTTAAGCCTATTACAGAAGAGCTTGAAATTCAGGCCCTCTGAGATAGCATTGTTTGGGAATGGTATCTCAGATCCAAACAATTAAGGTTGAACTATCAGTCAGAGTGATTCAGTTTGGGGTATTGTTTGTGAGTAAATGCTCTAAGAAGTGTTTTGGACATGGGAGAACAAAGCTTGTTCCCTAAGGAGCAGATCAGTGCTAAGATCAACAAAATGTTACCTGGATTTCAGAGACACGCACATAGACACGCACCGTGTGCCTTGTCTCGACAGGGTGTGCTAATATCCCGCAGGGCTGACATGCCATCATTGCAAAGTTGAGACCGGAGGCCAGCGGTTGAGCCAACAGACTTCACTTACCCGTTCTCCGCTCTGTCCGTCTGTCATGGGCACGCTCAGCTTAGTTCTGTGCTCATTGTATAGGAATGCCACCAATGTCATGTCCCTAAATAGAGCTGAAGCACATCGATAAGATACACAGTGTCACGGCTCGTTGAAAATGGTGAAGTATCTCTCTTGAGTGTACATCATGATGAAAGCCAGGTATTTATGGATTCTGCCATCATTGTATAGGAATCTCATCAACTCGCCCCTAAATAACTGGAGGGGGGAAGTAAAGCCCATTCCTAAGGCGTAGCGTCACCGCACTGTGGGAAGTGAGAGGCATCAAAAACACGGATTCCAAATCTTTATTTCTTGTCACATTTTTGGGGCATACTTATCTGCTTTTAAGGTCAATGGTACAGCTCAGAGCCCACCATATCCCACAACCTCTGGAGAACAGGACTTAAAACCGCAACCAGAACTAAGGACGCTTGCTTTCATATTGTCACTTATATGTACACCAGTGCACAGCCAAGCAAGCCACAGAGGTGCTTGTGGGTGCTTACTGCTGATGGGAGTTCTGAGAGTGCAGAGTGCTTGGCGTGTGTCTGTCCCTGGGGCTTCCCTGGAGAGCCCCTGGCTCAGGCAGGTCCTGTGTAATGACACAGGGTACTTGGGATTAGATCAATGGACAACAGTCCACTCAACATGAAGTACGTACCTTTAGGAAGATTTGGGTCCATTTACAGTATTGGGGGTTTCTGGTTTGTTTGTTTGTTTGTTTGTTTGGGGGGAAAGTGAGTTCCTTTCCAGTCACCAGGTTTACCATGCAAGTGTTGCTGTGTTGTGTCCTGTCATAGACTCTTCTTGTAGCTCGTGAACACCTCTTTAGTTGAGCCTCTAGTTCTCAACCTGTGAGTCACGACCACTTTGAAGTCAAATGACTCTCACAGTGGTCACTTAAAACCACTGGAAGACACAGATATTCACATCATGATTCATAACAGTAGCAAAATTTCAGTTCTGAGGTACCAATGCAATAATTTCATGGCTGGGGGTCAGTACAGCGTGAACGGTATTAAAGGTCACAGCGTTACAAAGGCTGGGTACCGCTGCTGTACACGATAAGCATGGTTTTTCTGCTCACTGAAACTCAAGGTTTTCTCTTTAAACAACCCAGTCTTTAACCGTTGTAGTCCACTTTAGGAGGCCTTGAGGACGTGTCAGTGATAGTAGGCACAACTCCTTGCAGCAAATGTGCACGAGGAGCTGTCCCGCCCACCTTACACGCACTATCCCACGGCCATGTCATTGTCACACTCTAAAAGGTGGCTTCAATGTTTCCACAGGTGAGAGATGGACACCCAGAGTAGTTGGGTAACTCGTCCAGTTCTGTGCAGCAAACTGACAGGACATCCAGGCCACCTAACCACAAGCTGTGTTCTTGCATACCCTATCTGCTGCCTAAGGTCCAGGTGGCCACAGAACTATTTATTGAGGAGTTTGGGTGCCCTATAGCCTGCTTCCCAGAGTGCAACCACTCTTGACACAATTAAGCCAGTGTCACTCAGGATTCCATAACCCAGCAAAGACCATGTGATAGATAAGCCAGGGCTCGGCTGCCACGGGGACCACAGCTCATTGACAGTCAGCTTGTGCCATTCAGGACACAGGAGCAGAAACAAGGACAAGGCCTGACGTTCTACAAGTCGGGTCAGTAGTCCTGATCCGAAGACCTCACTCGGGGGTACAGAGATCGAGGCAGCTTCTCTACGTCCCCAGCGGGGCACCCAGTAAGCATGAGCTTTGAGTGCGGCTCATGTTGGGACCGTTTGCTCTGGGGCCCAGGTATGTAGCTCC